TTTAAACATGTAGAAAAGTCCCCCCCCAAAAAAAGAAAGAAGAAACTTTTCCAACCCCAGCAAGTATATTCAACATTAACAATTCATCATTATCTCTTAAAATACAACCAAATACATCTTCATTCCATAGCTCATCCCATTTTCTACAGATACATCTCTAAATCCGCAGCTGTCCTTATTGACCAGCAAAAGTCCAGTAAAAATTAAGAAATTCAATTAACAACATAAGTATTTAGTCTCCCTTTCCATTTAAAGAAAATCCGCTTAATTCCTCTCTTAATAATCAAAATCTAATCTCAATTAACAATTAAACATTATTAAAAAATAAAAACCATTATACATTACCAGGACTAATAACCTCTTGTTTATAAACAAAAAGTCTTCACATAGATATTACAAACGAATCCGTTATATCCAATTAAATTAAACATTTCCAAAAAAATTAAGCAGTCCAATCCTTCTGAAGGGCACAATGTTAGAGAAGACATAAATACTCTATTAGAAGAGATTGATGAACAATAAATTAAAAAGTTAGACAGATGACGTGAATGGCATTACTCATATATGTGACTCAATATATGATATACTTGTCATCTGTGTCGATCTATATCAGGTGAGTAAACCATTGACAATCGGTGACTGGATCCAGTGAAACTATTTTTAGTCTATCATGCATTGATTGTTCATAGAATCAATGAATAGAAGCCAAGGAGGGCATCTAATTCCATGTGATGACTTCATTATCTATATATACCTTTTATAGAAGACAAGCTGTACAGGAATATGCTTTGGCCTTTGACTTTTAAAAGGCAAGATCCCAAACTTTATATAAAGCTCTCAATGTACAAACTTATTTATTTGTATCCCACCATAATTATTTTTACAAATAACTCAAAGAAGTGAATTTCTTCTTTCTATTTCCCTCTACAATAACAACCCTGTGAGATGATTTGGGAAGGTCACCCAGAGACAATTTCCATGGCTAAAATGGGACTAGAACTCACAGTTTCCAGCTTTCTAGCCTGGTGCCTTAACCGCTAGATCAAACTTACACAGAATGGATATGCACAAAAAGTATATGTAAGTTTTGCAATTGTAGTAACACTTAGATGAAAGAGCATAATCACATCCCTGTGATTTCTAAGCATTAATTCCAAGCTCTGAAAAAGCTACTAGAACAGGGGTCAGCAACCTGTGGCTCCAGAGCTGCATGTGGCTCTTTGGGCCCTCTGCTGTGGTTCCCTGTCAGGTGATCCCACCACTGGCTGACCCCACCCCTCGCCCTCCCCTCCCAGTCACTCCTCAACTGGCCTGAGAAGGTAAGGGCGACGGTGGGGGATGGAGAAGTGGCCAGGGCAGAGACAGGGAGATACAGAGAGAGGGAGAGAGAGAGAGAGAGAGACATAGAGAGATACAGAGAGAGAGGGAGAAGGAAGGGGGGGAGAGAGGGAGGGAGGGGAGAGAGAGATGTCAAAAGGATTTTGTGGTTCCTGGTGTTTTTTAACAACTAGTTCTCTGCCCTAATGACTGGCTGGGTAGGCGTGGCTGGGGGTGTGTGTCATGTGACTGGTGGAAGTGAATGACATTGAGTTGGCCATGCCCACCCAGATTTTGTGGCTCCCGGTGTTTTCTTTTCTGTGGGAAACGGGTCCAAATGGCTCTTTGAGTATTTAAGGTTGCAGATCCCTGCACTAGTATATTGGCTATGTGGGATCCCTCTATCCTGTTCATGTGTGCATACAGTACATACACAACTTCCCTACACATTACAACACAGGAATGGGGCTAGATAGATAATGAAAGACAAATAGATCAATGGATGGTCTTAGAAAGAAGGAACAACAGCATCTACTAGAAAAGCTAGAAAACCAAACACAAAAGGCGAGAGCAGGATCCCAAAGGTTTAGTAGAAACAGATAATTTATAAATGGTTGGCTAACTCACCTTGTTTACAGGACACAACATTCTAAATGGTTATTATTATTACTTTTTTTTTTTTTTGCCAAGTAGAGCTAAGTGTGTGATTGTGGAGGAGGAGCAGGTGATGTTGTAGTGGATGTTGGTGCTCTAACCATTGTACTTTGAGACTGTGTTTTGTAAACTTCCTACCTGAGATGGGCTGTCACTACAGGACATTTCGGAAGGAGCAACTCTGAAGAGGATTTGTTGGTTTGGTTGTGGTGATTTAAGGGATTAGGTTTGTCCAAGCCTAGGGGTCTCCCCCTTCCCTCTCCCTCTCCCTCTCCCTCTCCCTCTCCCTCTCCTTCTTCTTCTCCTCCTTCTCCTTCTCCTTCTTCTCCTTCCCCTTTCCCTTCTCCTTCTCCTTCCCCCTCCCCCTTTCCTCCTCCTCCTCCTTCTCCGAGGAATTATTTTCAGCTCCATCAGATGGGTATTGGCACAAGTCACCTCAGAATTTGAAAAAGAGTCAGAGAAAGTGAGCCCAAAATTTCACTTATTTCAGGATACAATAATGTGTGGGTTACTTGGAACCAATTGCAACTCAGCATAGTGGAATTGAGCATTGAGTAAACATAAGTATGATCTATGGGTCAGATGTATACACATCCAGGTGATAAACAACTTTTGCCCCGTCTAAATAAATTATAAGAAATCCCAATTTAATCTATAGTGGCATGTGTCATTTCTGCCCATTTCAAAAGACGCTAGCATGACCAAATCTGAGCTGCAGCAATCCAGATGGTCATAAGATGGCAGCAAAACGTTAGTGCTTTTTGGATTTCTGTGCTGCCACCTAGGGGTTGCTCTAATTCATGCACTTCACAACTGGTAGCTCTGAATAAACATTCATTGTCCATTGTTTTCTCAGCATAATTAAGATCTTGTTTTGAATCCTATATGGCTTTGATCCTAACTAGACAATGAGATATCCTGAGGGGTTCCTTTCAGAGATGCTCTTGCTTTTGGAGAGCTGTTTATCAATATAAGGGAAAAGGTGATTTACCCAGGTATTTGTTTGACTCCCTATGGTTAAAAAAAAAAATCTGAACACACCCATCTTCAGTGAGGTACTGTATTTTGAGTTGCTTTAAAATGATCATTGTATCAGTGCTGCTAATATTACCTGTTAAATTATGATTGTTGTGTAAATTTTTTGCTTTCATCCAATTTTCCTGGACTGCTGGCTATTTTCATTGTGCATCTTGGAGCAAACAGTGGGCTGTAAGTCAAATGTAACCAAATGAATAATATTAGGAAGCTGGGGTGGCACAGTGGTTAGAATGAAGTGTTGCAGGCTGACTCTGCCAACTTCCAGGAGTTTGATCCTGACTGGCTCATGGATGATTCAGCCTTCCATCCTTCCGAAGTCGGTAAAAGGAGAACCCAGACAATATGCAGACTCTGTAAAACTGCTTAGAGAGTGCTATAAAGCACTGTGAAGCAGTATATAAGTCTAAGTGCTGTTGCTATTGTTTGCTTTTAAATGTGTTATCATTCTTGATACTCTATTTTAATACAAGTCAATCAATATACCTTCAGGTTTATGAAGGAATTGATGATGGGGGGGGAGGAATTTAAAGAGAGACACAAGCAGCTGATTTAAGATCTTATTTATTGCGTTATATACAGTAGAACCTCTGGTCACAACCATAATTCCTTCCATAACTTTGGTCGCAACCCGATTTGGTCGTGACCCGAACCTAACCAAAATTAATGCAAAATTAATGCAGTGCTTACAAAAACCCCCAATTTGGTTGTGGTCAGAAGCGTTCGTGACCAGAGATTCTACTGTATAACACAACCAGGATTATTAATACCATAAAATGCCACTATAATCTCAATTTTACCCACATAATATTCGCTTTGCTTTGTTCCCAGGGCATGATTTAAAGGAGAAAGGTTAATCCCTGCATTCGGTCCTTCCTGTTTGATTCTGAAAGCCGATGGTGACATGGTAAGACAGCTGAAAGATCCAAAAGGGAAAGTGACTGAATTCTTTCTGTGTTTGTTGTCATGAGGTGTTTGGATGAATGGCACACTAACAGAAGCCTATACAGCCAAGAGGAAATATTGAATTCCAGAGGGAGTAAATTCTTCCCTGGAGAGAATCTGACTTCAGGATCTCTTTTTTTTTGAGGTGGGGGTTTTTAGATTTTAAAAGAAGATGGAGCTTTTCAGTAAAAAGTTGGCAGGTTAATTGTTCAAACTGCAAATGGAAAACAAGAGCATGGATATGCTAATTTCCCCAAAGGTGTTTTTTAAACTTAGTTTTCAATATGACCTACTGCAACACAGGTAATCCTCATCTTACAACCGCAATTGAGTCCAAAATTTATGCTGCTAAGCGAGACATTTGTTAAGTGAGTTTTCCCCCATTTTACGACTTTTCTTGCCACTATTGTTAAGTGAATCGCTGTAGTCGTTAAGTTAGTAACACAGTTATAAAGTGAATCTGGCTTCTCCATTAGCTTTGCTCATCAGGTCACATGACCCGAGGACACTACCACCATCATAAATATGAGTCAGTGGCCAAGCGGCTTAGTTTTGATCACATGACCACGGCGCTACTGCAACATTCGCAAGTATGAAAAACAAGTCACTTTTTCAGTGCCATCGTAACTTTGAACTGTCATTAAATGAACTGTTGTAAGTCAAAATGTTGTCATTTTCAAAAGGCAAGAGGGCACTGGGAGAAATGTCAACCTTCTAACTTCATTTTCATGTTCTTACAGAATTGAGTGGCAGTAGCCTGGTATGCAATGTAATGTAATAATTGCTGGAGTGAAACGGTAGAAAATTCATCATTTTGTCTTCCCTGGCTTGAGAATAAACATTTCAATGCATCTCCTTATCTACACCCTCCCACCTCCATCCCAAATTGGCTATTCAGCTGTGTGATGCAGCGGTCAAGTTAAAATTCTACATGGGATGTCAATGAACTTGGGTGACTTTGCGGCTACTGACCTATAGGTAAATAATCGTGGGCAACATTGGAGGCTCTATTCCTGATCCCTAAGTTACTATGCAAAAGTTGGTGGACATTGAAAATGAACAGACGTATTATTGGTTAATGCGGCTGCGTTGGAATATTTGATACTTATTTCTTTTTATTTTTCAAAACCTCATTTGGTGAGTAATATTTTTTTTTACTATTATAGATTTAGGGGAAAAATAATGTTAAAAATAGCACACCTTGAACAAGTTAAAGGAAATCGTTTTAATATTATTGTGACCAGATTCTCACAGTCTTACTGTAATTTGAAGGAATAAAGGTGCTTGCTCCATTAATAGTGCAAAGTCTGTCTTTTTTTTTTTTTAATGAACCATGAAATTCTGTTTCGTTTGGATTAATGATATTAAGTAAGAGAGTGGATAGAATGGATGGTTTTCTAAACTGTTCCTTTAATGACAGGCAGTTGAAATATCAATGAAAACATCTTCTAAAATATATTTACGCAGTAAGACCACATCAGGAGCATTCCGTAAGAATGGACTTACTTACTTAGAATATTTATTTTTGTATTGAAAAGCCATTGACTTCTCATTTTTAGATGATATTAAAACAGAATTATATATTATGTGGGAAATGGAGGATCTGATGTTTTCATATTTTAAATATATGTATGTGCTTGGGGGGGGTCTGAATTAAATGGAGAGGTTGAGAGGTTACTTAAACTTCTAATGTGCTACTATTGGTTGCTCTTGATTGGTTCTTATCCTGAAATGCCATTGAATGTTTTTATATTATTGTTTATTCTGTATTTGGAATGGTTATGTTGTATTAACTGCTCAGAACTGCTTTTGTGAGAAGGGCAGCCATATAAATTGAATAAATACATAAATAAATAAGACAGCCTGGATGGTGACGTTCCTCTTGCATTATTCCCCACATCTAACCCATCCTTTTATGTTCATTCCTGAGAGGAAAAATAACTCATAATCTACACAGTGGAATATTTTAAAGAAATCAACATAGTGTCTTGGATACTGCATTTCTATTATTATGTTATGCATTTCAAGAGCCCAAGGAATAACAATTCAGACCAAAGGGTCAGGCACATTTATGTGGCAATTTAAATGGTTCATTTGTCACATACACATTCAGTGTATGTAAATGTGTATATGTGTGTGTGTATGTGTATGTATACATATATGTACAATAATGTACACACACATATGCAGTGAAAACATTCCCACTGCGTATCTTGTTCCGGGTTCATACATATATACTCATATATACTGAGGTTTATATCACTGTTGGGTTTATTACACGCTATCAAGTTGGTATCAACTTTTAGAGATTATATAGACAGAACTTGTCCAGGACAATCTCTTCCCAACCTGGCCCTTCAAGTCGTCCAACGTTATCCCCAGTGTTGCTGGAATCAAGTCCATCCACCTTGTTGTTGGTTATCATCTTTCTTTCTATCTACCCTTTGCAACATTATGGATTGGCAAAGAGAGCCAGGTCCAAAAGTGTCCAAAATATGATGAAAAGAGGACCACTTGCATTAAATGCCATGACGGTGAGAGGGGATCAGAGAATTGGCTGTAGGCTCTGACAGATCAGACCATCATCCGTTGCCCTAATCACAGTGTCTTGCATAAGATGTGAGATTGTGTGAGGCATAGATAGACGTACATACATTCACACTAGTTAACCTATTGCTTCAGTTTTATTAATCCCGTGCCCTGACTGACTGTGCCACTCAGTCATGCTATGTTGACTCAATTAACTTTGATTGATCTATTATTTTTTTTAATGTGTCAACAGTTCTGATGGGCTGGCTTTCTTGTTTTGGCTCCCATCCATAGCCTTCCCTTCCCAACCTATTTCTCCATTTGTGTATTTTGCTTTAAACACAGGGTTCTTCCCCAACTGTAGTATTTAGCCTTCTCTCATTCATGCACTAGATAGATGTCCACACAAACCTGCTATTTATGACAGAGTGACTCAAACGGTGCTATCCCTTTCTGTTGCAAACGCCACCACTTCTGGGTGTGCATGAAACTTCGTGATGCATCTAGAAAACAGGCAGGGCTTGTATCAACAGATCATAATGTCATTTTCGTCACTCTGGCTTCCTTGTCTCTCCTGTGGACGTCATTGTAACCATCCCTCTTTTTTGTTCATTTTTTTAAAAAAACAGCTTCTGGTTTGTTTGTTTTTAAAGTTGTCCTTGTTGCTAGTGTACGTTGTTACCATAGGTCAGTTTGTGTGCCTTAGGTAGTTTATTAGGCAGCATTGCACACTGCTTTTGGTTCCTTTGCCAGACTAGCATCCAGTAAGAGGCTGAGCAATGAAGGCAGAATATAGATGTCCCAATTTGCTAGTAATTGCTTTCTGAATACTATTCTCTGTCTTAAGTTCCCTTTGGCCAGATAGAGTCAAGATGGGGGCTTTAGAAATAAAATTTGGATTTGAGCAAGATCCTCCTTTCAGCCAGCAGATATGTTGTGTCTGAGCAATTGGAGTACAGTCCAATGATTGTGATGCTGCCATATTTCAGTGCACAGTTTCTACATCGACAAGCTCTACCAAATAACGGAAATAGAAAGGGTACCAGATAGACAAGCATGGACTCAAGGATGCTCTGTATGGAAGCATCTTCAAATTCCGATGCCTCCAACTATTATCCCTTTCCCAATTCTTAGAAGCCATTTTGAGCCCTGGAATCATCTCTTGCAAGGCTCATAAAAACCCTGTTTAAAAAAATAAGAAGAGAAATCATGCAACACATTGGAAAAGATTTAGGGCAGGGGTGAATTGCTCCCGGATCAGACCGGATCAGACGATCCGGTAGTGATGTCGGTGGGTGGTTCAGAGAACCGGTAGCAAAAATCCCTGGGCCCCCCACCCATGCTCACCCAATTGCCCAGTCGCCCACTTGCCGCTTCTTTTAAAAAATGCTTTTAAAAGGTTAAAAAAAGGCTCTGACAATCACAGCTGAGCTGCGTGATCGTCAGAGCCTTTTTTTTACTTTTAAAAGCATTTTTTTACAACCTATTCGTGCGCCACAGCTGATCACCCCCCCCCAGCGTGCTGTTCTACTTACCCCGTGCCTCCTTTTGGCGTGCACTGCAAGTGCACACACCTCGCATTTGGTGCGTGATGCGCACTGCGCATGTGTGCACACAGCACGCACACGCAGCCAGCAAACCGGTAGTAAACCAGTTCAGATTTCACTACTGATTTAGGACATTGTGTTATCTTCTGCTGTCCAACTGATTGAGGTTGTGTGATCAGCAATTAGACTTATCTGTGTTAAACATTTAAAGAGAATGAGTATATTTGTGAAAGGGACAGGATTAAAAAGAACTAAAGAAACAAATAAATTGCAAAAAGAGAGAGGAGGGGTTTAAAAAAAATAACATACATTTCAGCACTGCAGTTTCTTGGTTACCAGAGTATGGAATTCAGAACATTGTAAAGATATTTATTGGGAATGATGGGCTGGCTGGAAATAAGAATGTCTTAATCAAATGACGAATACAAAGAATTATTGGATAATCCTATATTGGATTGTTGGAAACAGTATAGAAGCGATCTGAACAAATGCTTGTTGTGGCTTAAAAACAGAAAATAATATTTTGAGAGACCCGTGCCTATTCCAGCTAGAATCAGACCCAGCATTTTACTCCATCTTGGGTGAAACTTTGGTCACTATCATCAAAAGAGGGAAGTCTCAGTGTAACACTGTTAGAAGGGACAATATGTTCAACAATATTCTGCTAGAGAAATTGTATCCATAGAGCTTATTTAAAACGATTTTTAAAAAAACTAAAAAAAAAAAGAAAGAAAGAAAAAGAAAAGAAAAAGAAAAGAAAAAGGAGAAGAGGCTTATGGTCCCATGACTGGATTACTAAGAAGATATATTTTCCTAACCCGCTGGGAAATTATAGATAACATTTCTTGAAGGGTGATGATGCTATCAGGGAGGAGTTGGTTGGTTTCCAATTGAAACCATACCGTCATTTTTTTAAGAGTGGGAGGATAGCCTTTGGGACGCAAATGATTCTTGTTTTCCATCTTGAAAAAACTTCCCATGTCAGGAAATCGGCTCTTTTGCAGCCAGATTTCAAGGGTGGAATGCAAGGTGTTGACTCCACTCTGCACAAAGTGTTACCCACCAAACATGGCAATCTGCATCTGTGCTCTGAAGCAGGGGTCTCCAACTTTGGCAACTTTAAGCCTGGCGGACTTCAACTCCCAGAATTTGCTGGCTGGGGAATTCTGGGAATTACAGTCCACCAGGCTTAAAGTTGCCAAGCTTGGAGACCCCTGTTCTGAAGCACAGCAGAAAGATAACCTTGAGGGGGGTGGGAATAAAACTTTCCTTAAAGCAGCACACAGTGGAAATCATACATCATTCCAGTGAGCTCTGGGGTTTTTTCTTTTTTCCAAATCATGCTCCAGAATTGAAGAATTAATTAGATCAGACTGTTTTGGGGTTTAGGCTATTTTGGCAGCCCTGGCTTGGACAGTCTCTGCACCATCCCTTCACTTGTTTTGAAAAGGTAAGACATGCTGCCTTTAGGAAGCCAAATTTGTGGGGCGGGGAGGGGGGGGGAAGCAAGCCTCCACTTTTCCCCTTTTAAGTGCAGATGAATAAACCAAGCATGATTTATGGAAGGCTGTCTGAAAAAGACAAAGGAGAACTGGCCAAAATGGAATGGAGGTGGACATCTTGGAAGTCAGTTTTTAAACAATCCCTCATTTTGCAACATTTCAATTGTTTCTTACTGGGATTAGTATTTGCTCTTGGAGACAGCGGTGTCTTCTCTTGCCAAAGCAGTTCTAAAGAGAAACAAAAGAAAAATCAGCATCAGGACAGGATTAAAAAAAACCCCTCAAATAACAAACAAATGGCAAAAACAGATGAGGAAGTAAAAAGAATAAATAACATACATTTCCAGCAATGTAGCTTCTTGGTAACCAGAGTATGGAATTCAAAACATTGTAAAGGTATCTATTGGGCAATGAGGGGGGCTGGCTGGACATATGTAAGAAAGTCAAGCCATGTCTTAGTCAAATTAAGAATGCAAAAGATTATTGGATAATCCTTTATTGGATGGTTAGAAACGGTATAGAAGTGATCTGAACAAATGCTTGTAGAATCTATGGCTTAAAAACAGAAATTAATATTTTGAGAGACCTATGATTATTCCAACAGAATGGAGCTGATAGGAAAATCTAGGATGAGGGACAAAAATGTTTAGTTCACCTGTTGCACAATGCTCTCATGTAGGGTTGGTTTGGTTTAAAGCAACATCTGGCATTTGTGTTGTGGTTAAATCTTACCACCTGTATAAAGTAGACCAATCCTAAAATATAAAGTAAAAACAATTATAGTAATTATGCTAGCGCACTGTTGGACTGCCACAATGGTTCAATTCCATTAAGGCAAGGATAAGTAACCTGCTCTCTTCCAGATGTTTTGAATGATAGTTCCCATGAACCTAGTCATGATGACAAAGAGCAAGGATTTGTGGGAGTTATTTAGAAGCAACAATTTATCTATCAATCTTTTAAAATGGATTATTTAAAGTGAGTGAGTGATGGGTCTCTTCCAATACATTTCATCAGGTGTTAATCATTTACTACTTAAAGTATTGGAAATACAGGATGCAAGGGCATGTACTGTACAACTGATTGTAGGATCATTGAAAAGAGACAATTATTCAGACACAAGCCCTTCAAATTTACATGAAAATGTATGGAGACAGAGTAGGCTAAAAATTGCTAATTTTTCCCCTGGTACAGTTAAATATCAATTCTATTTATAGATAGTTTAATGCTTTTTTTTTTTTTTTGGTTAAGTGCTGATTGCAAGTGATGTTCAACTTTTTAATACTCTCTGACATTTACCTGAAACTGCTGGAAGAGATCATCTAATGAATGGGGTTTGGTGATGTACAAACGTACTCCGTTGTACATCACCATCCTGGACCACACAGGTGATATGTCTCAACATACTGTCCAGTTTTGGTCACCACACTATAAAAAAGATGTTGAGACTCTAGAAAGAGTACAGAGAAGAGCAACCAAGATGATTAGGGGACTGGAGGCTAAAACATACAATGAACGGTTGCAGGAACTGGGCACGGCTAGTCTAGTGACGAGAAGGACCGGGGAGACATGATAGCAGTGTTCCAATATTTGAGGGGCTTCCACAGAAAGGAGGGGGTCAAGCTATTTTCCAAGGCACCTGAAGGCCAGACAAGGAATAATAGATGGAAACTGATTAAGGAGAGATTCAACCTGGAAATAAGGAGAAACTTTCTGACAGTGAAATCAATCAACCAATGGAACAGCTTGCCTTCAGAAGTTGTGGGAATTTCATCCCCAGAAGCTTTCAAGAAGAGATTGGATTGCCATCTGTCAGAAATGGTGTACGGCCTGTTTGGGCAGGGGAGTTGGACTAGATGACCTACAACTGGTTGGGGTGAAACATACCGAGGGTGAACCCTGAGAAGTTGGAGTTAATTGTTTGTTCATTATGAATCCCTTACATTTTCATTTGTGTCTCTTGATTGGGGTAGTACTTATAGATGATGCTGGACAGGCAAGTTGAGGGGGGAGCTTTGCCCAACACAACAATTACAAGCATTACCTGGGATGAGAGGATCTCACAACAGTGACTTGTGTCCTTATCACCACTCTCCTGAAACCAAAGACCACTTGAAAGCTTCAATTAGTACTGAATGTGATTGCCTAATTGTTGCCAGAAAATTACCAAGATGAGCACAGTACACTTTGTGTCCTGGGCCTCTGCCCTGTCTTCCTGTTAGTTACCTTGACAATTCAAAGTGTTGGCTTTGACTTTTAAAACCCTATGTGTCTTGACACTGAGATATCTCCAGGACCATCTCCTACAGTCAATTTTATTGATGCTCCCGAGAAAATCTATTAGCAAACCCCATTTCTGGGTGATGATAGGGATGGAAGACTGCAGGTGTAGCTTTTTGGTGATATGTTGATGCTATGGAACTCCCTAGACTGAAATCTAATCAGCTCCTACATTGTTAGTTTCAGAAAACTGTTTAATTCCGTTCAGTTGTAGATATCACCTATTTTACTGCTTTTTGATAAGTTGAATTATTTTATCCATAGTTCAGTTATTAAATATTGTTTTTAAAGTTATTTATACCATGGATGTTTATTGTTGAGATTCAACCTACTAACAGATTTTGATTCTATTTTTTTAATAAATAAATGGCAGAACAGCGAGAGATCTTTTAGGAGTATCAAAGATCATTGTATGATTTGGTGTTAGCCTACAACAGAATCACAATTTCTTCGATTTTTGTAGGAGTCGAAAGAAACGAATCATGCCTGAACCAGTTACTTTATACAGTATTAAGAGAATTGGAGAAGATAATTTGGCCTTTGAATCAAATGAGTCACGTAAGCTTTTGAACTTGGAACACTTCTTGACTTCATATAGTAATTAGTAAACCTGATTTGTTCATAGCATTCCTTGATTATGGTTTATTGTATGGTCATTGTTTATTACAATAAAGTACCATTAACAATAGATTAGATCCTAATTCAGAGGGAAATAAATAAATCTTCTCCCGTTTGGTCTATTTAAACAAATGTGTGTTGAATTGGATGGTCATGAAAAGGCTGATTGCTAATTTTTGGCATAAATACTAGTTGTCAACTGCTTTCAGGGATAGAATAGTGCTCGCATAAAGGAAAACAACAAAACAGATCAACTGATTTTACTTAAACTTAAAAAAAAAACACCTCTCAGCCAGAGGTGGGTTTCAGCAGGTTCTGACCAGTTCTGGAGAACCGGTAGCGGAAATTTTGAGTAGTTTGGAGAACCAGTAGTAAAAATTCTGACTGGCCTCTCCCCCATCTATTCTCTGCCTCCCAAGTCCCAGCTGATCGGGAGGAAATGGGGATTTTACAGTATCCTTCCCCTGCCACACCCACCAAGCCACGCCCACCAAGCCATGCCATGTCCACCAAACCACACCCACAAAACTGGCAGTAAAAATTTTTGAAACCCACTACTGCTCTCAGCAGTTTTTTAAAGTTGCATCTTCTCCCAGAAGGGCACTTCCATGTTTTGCATGAAAAGTCCATGCCCTATGAAGCATATTTTTCCCTTTAAATCAGGAGTGTCAAACTCGCGGCGACACGTTGTTGTCACGTGACATATCCCAACTTTTCCCCCCTTTGCTAAAATGGGGGTGGACGTGGCCAGCGTGTGATGCATCCAGCCCACGCGCCACAAGTTTGACACACCTGCTCTAAATCCAAAGTCCTGTGCAGGCCCTGTTATTCACATAAATGTATACATGTAAATTGCGGTAGCCATTTGACTGCAGTGCAGGATAAGTTCACAGTGACATGCAGTATATAGACTGATTTTGCTTTTTTAAAAAAGTGCCATTATTTTATCAAACATCTAGCCTTAAAGATATGAGTATTATCTTTAAACTCTTAATGGCTTGGAGTCCAGGTGTTTACTATCCACCTGCCTGGTTACCTAGCTAGGTCAGTAGAAAAGGTCTTTTTAAGGACCATCTCCAATGGTGGTATTCAGCCGGTTCTATCTGGTTCTATCCAATCCGGGTAAACCGGTAGTGGCAGCTGTGGGAGGCTCCACCCACCTGCCCGACGTCATCATGTCCCATTTTTGATGCTCTGCGCATGCGCGGAAGACAAACCTGACTCTCTCCCTTCCCTACTGCCAAAACTCTGCCTGCCTTTTACACTAGAATGGGCCTTCTCCTGAGAAGTTCTCAGGTAGAAGGAACTCCCTGGGAAACTGTGTTTGGCCCAATATTCAGGAAGACAGAAAAAAGACATCTCTTCGACCAAACTTTTAATAGTTAATGCATTTTAATGTTTAATTTCAACTCCAATTTTTACTGTATTAATGTTCTCATTTTATATATATATTTTTAACTCACTGTTAAATCTTCATGATTATTTAACACCCCACCCCCCAAAAAAAGCAGGGTGCATATCTAAAATAAAATGCTTTATAAAATGGACAGAGTTAGATGTTTGAGTAGGCAAAGGCAAGATAACTGAAAGCATAAGGAGTCTGAGGAGGCATCAGACAAGGATTTTTGAATTAGTGAAATGTGGAAAGCCAGTTTTTCTCCTATCTCAAAAGTGCTTTTTCAAAAGGCAACTGAATTGTTTTTTCCTTGAGGAAGTAGTTTTCCTCCTACTTGAGGAAGAAGAAGTAGTTTTCCTCCCACTTCTCTTAAAAAGACAAAGGTCAAAACTAAAATCTGTGTTGTTTTTCCTCCCACATAAGGAACCAGTTTAGTGAAACAGAACCAAAACTGAAGATTTGGTCTATTCTGATTTTTCAGTTTGGTCTATTCTGATTTTTTTTACAAAAGTCATGAGTGCACAAGTTAGGGGAATCCTCAGTCAAACACTGCATTGCATTACGAAAAAATCAATGGAGTGAAGAAAGCTAGTCTATGCATATAGCGATTGGTAGGGAGAAAGAAAAATATCTCGCTAAAGATTTCACTTCCATATTAACTTCCATGTATTTCTTCCCCAACAGATAATGACATCAGCAAAGCAAAGTAAGTCAGAGCTCTAGAAGGATATAAAACTGAGACTTGCAAAACATGTTGGATGTGGAGCTTCTAATTCTTCCAGATGTCATCTACTCTAGCTATTTCTCAAGACATTTTCTCTGCCTCCTCTTCCTCCTCATCCCTTCCCTACATCCCTTGGTCACTGAGCATGCTCAACATTCAACCTTTTTATTTTAAGCTGTTTTGCTCTGTGCCAGATTCTTGGTTCCTCTGAGCATGTTGGGTCCCACACCTTGTGAAGGACCTGTGCGAGGACTTTGTTGAGGCATTTTGTGCAATGCAAAGAGCCTATTCTAGGGCATTCCTTAGCTAGGAATACCCTTCTATATGTATATGCCAGGGGTGTAAAACTCAATTTCATTGAGGTCCGCATCAGGATTGTGTTTGACCTCGGGGGGGCGGGGGTAGGAGGGGCCAGGGTGGGCATAACCAGCTTGACATCACTCGTCAAGGCTCCATTTTCAGCTGCAATGGCCTCCTGAAGCCCTCTGCCAATGAAAATGGAGCTTGAGGAACTGTCAGCGGCCCACCCGGAGTTCGGTTTTCACTGGCAGAGGGCTGCAGGAGGCTATCATGGCTAAAAATGGAGCTCGGGAGAGTCACACAGAGACACCATGGGCCGATCCTTCGGTGTTTCCAGGGTGGCCCCATGGGCCAGATCTAAGCACCTCACAGGCCGGATCCAGCCCGCAGGCCTTGAGTTTGACACCCCTGGTGTATGCCCTTGCTTCAACCCACTATCTACAATGAAGCAGCTGTTTTGCTCTGCTGTTTAGAAGTCGGAGCCCTGTTGCTCAGCTTCAAAGCAGTGCTTTGTCCAAATCTTCATCAAAGTAAAGTATTCTGTTGGAGATTTGGACAACCTCTCACCTCCTTCCTACTCCTGCCAGTTTTTCCGCTGTGCTCAACCTCCATCAATAATCAGTGTGCCAAGTGTGCTAAGCCTGGCCCTGAATACCACTCTTTTGGGGGAATAAAAACCATACTGAAACAGGCTTTTGATTAAATTTAAAGCTCATTCTGAATAAAACTCACTTTCTTTGTATTTCAAGGCTTTTCAAATAATATTTCTTTTAAAGATAATATTCTTATTGAACTCTAACACACACTCACAAAGCTGCAGACTATATTTGGAGGAAGGTTAACGGTGGGATTGACTCTGAACAGAACTGGACCATTAATCTTGCTCCCATTGAGAAAAATGTATTGCTTTTTGCAGGAATTTTGGTGGGAAGAATGAAGCCTCTTCAAAGAACAATGCAAAGGAACACAAGTAAGACAAATTTTCTTCTTTTCTAAAAGTACATTTGCTTTTCATTTCATTGATTTCATGCATTCCATTAAGCTTTTTTTGAGAGAAGGAGGCAGGATGGAATAATGCCAAGAGAGTAAAACATTTTAATATGGTAATGCAAAATATTAAATAGTCCTCATACAGATGCCTGAACAGGTTGGCTTCTGCTTAAAATATCAACCCATTCTTTAAAAAACACTCTTATCCTTTGAATCATAGCCTTTGGACTAATTATCTACTGCATCTTCCTCTTTCCCTGGAAAAAGTTGCCTGCGTGTCCTTATGTAACCATTCAGTACGTCAATCATTTCCCTTATCTACTTCAGGACAAGGCTTAAAAAATCATAATCAGAAGACCTCTTTGTTAGGTCACCAAGTCCAACTATTAGTTTGGTGTGGAAAAGCCAGAGCAATAGCTTGACTCTCCTCTGAATAATTGTTCGGTTCCTGAAGTACTCTTATCATGAAGAAGTTTTTTCCAATGTACAAAATTTGTCCTCTTGTAACTTACAAATCTAGTCCTGCAGAAAATCACACAGTGTTCTTTTTCTACAAGATACTTCTCCAGAACTGAAAGGGTGCTATCATGTCATCTCCTCAGCCTTCTTTCCCCAGATCCTTATTAGGACTTGTCCTCTATTTTCATTTCGTTGCCTTCTTCTGTTCTAGTCAGTATTCAGTTTTTTTAAAAAAAATATCTGGAGCCCAGATTTAGCATATTAGATACTGCCCACTTTCATATAACATGGGACAATTACTCCCCACAATTTGGAAAGAGAGGTTATACTAATGCTTCCTAAAATTCTAGTGTTTCTCCAGCTGTTTCAAATTTGCTCAAGTGCAAGGCAACCACAGAATCACTTGGGACAGCAGTAAGTCCCAGGAGTAACTAATATGTAAAAAGTTTGAAAAGTAAGGAAGTTGAATAAGAATGTAAAGATATGAATCGGTGATGATGATGCCAGTTGTGGGTTACTAATTTGACCTTTTCAGAAAATTTCAACTAATCTCTTCAGATTAGATCAATTTCCCCAACCTGTTATTTCCCCATTACCTGATACTACAACTCCCATAATTGCCAGTCTCTGCAGCCATTAGCAAAATTCCCCCTTTGATTTTAATATGCATCAACAAAGTACTTCCTTCCAATAAATTACGGTTATCAGAATAAGGGAGTAACTCTTTCATATATTACTACAAATGGTTGATTGTTCCATCAATTAACTGATGAGATCCGGGCACCTGGGAAAACCGAATTTGTACAATGATTCTTAGGCATTTTATTTATGAAGCATATTTCCATGCTGCTGCAATCAAAATGACTTTCAGCAGATTGCAAGAAAAAAGGTACAATTTAGAATGTGCCCAGTGCAACAATAATACAACAAACACATGGTAGTACATAAAACTCCATCTCAACTCAAGGAACGGCTCTCTGGAGCAGTTCAGGCTTTAAAATTCCCTTAAACCCAATAAAGAGGGAACTAGCCTGATCTTCATGAGGAAGCCATTTAACAGCATCAAGGCTGCCACAGAAAAACAGTATCTCCTGTCTAACCTTATGATATTTGTGACATTGTCCTTTTTTATATAAAAACACCTATTGCGGGTTGTCAGATTTGAAGCCAAAAAGGAAGGAGCTTCTCCATCTCTTTGAAATATTTTATCTGCAGGATTGATTTGAAGGGGAGTCATCTGTGAGGCAAAACTGCTAGTAAGAAAACATTGTCTTCCATCTTGGGATGTCTGAAGAAGGTTCTGGCAGATCTACTAGAAGGAGAGAAACCACATGTATAATAATGCCCCATGTTTTTCTTTCTTTGAAGGATACCAGACAAGAAAAAAGATGAGATTCGAATTGGATTCTTTCAGCTGGTAATAGCATTCCTGGTTGTCATTATTTTTCACATACAGCATGTTTCTTGAGAGCAAGGCTCACAAATTTTCCTATCAAGTCCCACCAGTTTATCTGTCACAGAACCAAAATAGAAACAAGAGTTCAGTTTTCCAAGAAAGTACTTTGTTATTATATTTAAGAGGGCCATCTTGGTTGGAGGTTGAGGCATCAGGCTAGAAATTGGAGTTCTGGACCCTCCTTAGACAAAAAGCTTTCTGGGTCAGTCACTTTCTCTCAGCCCTAAGAAGGAGACTACGGCATAACACTTTTAAAAATGCTTGCCAATGACTTGTCCAGACAATCTCTGAGAATCAGATACTCAGGAGCCTGAGTAGCGTAGAAGGCTAATGCCTCCTACTAAGGCAGCATTTAACATCCAGCTGCCTGCAATTACTGCGAGTTCAATTCTCACCAGGCTCAAGGTTGACTCAGCCTTCCATCCTTTCTAAGGTGGGTAAAATGAGGACCCGGTTTGTGGGGGCAATAAGCTGACTTTGTATAAATATACAAAAGTATGAAGGCTATTGCTTAACGCATTGTAAGCCGCCCTGAGTCTCCGGAGAAGGGCAGCATATAAAAATAAATAAATAAATAAATAAATAAATAAATAAATAAATAAATAAATAAATAAATAAATAAATAAGATACAATTGAATAGAAAGATACATGTATGTTTGTGTATGCATGTATACATATTCTGCACAGTCTGTTAAGTGTGTATCTAACCTGAGTTCCTGTATCATCAGTTGTGAACCATGGTATCAAATCAAGGGGGTGGGAGAAGAGAAGGGAAGCTCTTCACTTGCTCAAACCTTAACATTTACAGCAGTGGTGGGATTCAAATTTGTTTACTACCAGTTCTGTGGGCGTGGCTTGGTGGGCGTGGCATGGCTTGGTGGGCGGGGCAGGGGAAGGATACTGTAAAATCTCCATTCCCTCTCCACTCCAGGGGAAGGTTACTGCAAAATCCCCATTTCCTCCCGATCAGCTTGGACTTGGGAGGCAGAGAATAGATGGGGACAGGGCCAGCCAGAGGTGGTATTTACCGGTTCTCTGAACTACTCAAAATTTCCGCTACCAGTTCTCCAGAACTGGTCAGAATCTGCTGCAACCCACCTCTGATTTACAGACTGAAACCAGACACAAAACAATGACAGAAGTCCGGCCTGGAAAGTGGTTTTCAGAATCAAAAATGAAATCCCAGTCATTTCACTACACAAAATCAAGTCTCTTTTCTTCCCTAAATATTTTACTTAGCATCTGTGAACAACTCTTCACAGTTACAACAGTGATGGGAAAAAAAAATCAATTTTCACATTTACAATCTTTTGCAGGTCTTATAAAGCAAAAGAAATATGAAGATTGTAAGCATAGTGGTGATTTCACTTAACAACAACCACTTCAGTTAATGACCAAGTTGCTGGGCCTGGTTTGTGGTAACTAAATGAGGATTATCTTTATAATTATCTGTGCGGGAGAAATTTAATTGAGAAGGTCCTCCTCTGTTACAAACTGAAGATGGGAACAGGGATCTGTTACACCTGAAAGGATGCAATGCTAGATCATGAATAAAAATAACGGATTAGTAATATAAAAGCAAATGATGTGAAAACTACTGATGAACAAACCCTGCCTCTTATTCCTTACAGTTCAGATTTGCTTCTTCGGCTGAGATACTGATGATGGTTTCAGGGGGTATCTGTGCCATTCTTCATGGAACAGCCCAGCCGGCCATGCTGATTGTTTTTGGGATCATGACAGACACATTTATTCAATACGACATTGAAAAACAAGAGCTGAACGACCCAAACAAAGTGTGCATGAATAACACAATAGTTTGGATTAACAACTCCCATCATCAGAATGTCAGTAACGCATCAAGTTGTGGGTGAGTGAGCACAAAATATTTTCAGTTTTATCAAATGGCGTTGGCTCAGTTCTTCGGGAGTTTATCCGGTGGGTTATCTAAATCAGCAAACGATTTGGTCTACTTTTGGCAGATAATTATTCTGTTAAACTGAGTGCTGGATTTGCAGCCTCTGTGGTTAGAGAAGTTGATGTATTAAAAACGAAAGTGTCTGACCACATTCCACCTCATTTGGGTTTCAAACAGATCTTCTCCAAAGACAAGAGATATTGCTACTTACTCAAGAGTAAGGTGGCCTATAAATCAAAATAAATCAAAATAATAAAAAAAAGTTGATAAGCGCTTGTGTTAATAATCTACGGCCACCTACACTACCGTTAAAACTTAGAAGAACTATTGACTTTAACAGAAGATTTCAAAAGATTGCATTGTGAGATCACTTTTGAAAGGATTGATGATTATCCTGAAATAAAGAGTGTAACAGTAGCAGAGTTGGAAGGACCTTGGAGGTCCTTGGAGGTCATCTAGTCCAACTCCCTGCTCACACAGGAGACCTGTACTAGGGATTCAAACCACGGAACTGCCGAGCTTTCTGATTGATAAGCTCAGTGTCTTAGCCACTGAACCACCTAGATTCCTGTCACCTTCCCCCCTCCCCCTCAGTTTCTATTACCTTGCAGAGGAAGTAAGAATAATACATCTAGTGCATTAAGACTTCAGGGTGTGTCCTTTTAGGCTCCAACTTCTAAAGCCACAGTGTAGAAACTGATCATCGCAGAACAACTGGATCCGAGATCCAAAAACCAGACTAAATGTGAGGTGCATTTCGTTATGAAAAAACTTCAAAGGAGTGACTTGATTCAGCAGTGTAATTGAACCATCACATCAAAGCAGTTTGCAAACCAAAGGGTGGCTTTGCAGATTTCTATGCTCCCTGTGGTTGTCATAGACGCTAGGCATATTGCAATTTCAATTCCGTATGTGGAGAAGCTGAAGAAGGGTTGACTAGTAGAATCTAAGTTTCTTCTGTGTTTATGGAGATTCTCAGTCATCCAGGTCATGGTTGTCCCAAAAGTGTTTTTTCAAGAGGCCACTGGACTTTCTGGTTATTCTTTGAAGACCTTTTGCTTCTCATCCAAGAAGCTTCTTCTACTCTAGCGCTGAAGAAGCTTCTTGGATGAGAAGCAAAACGTCTTCAAAGAACAAGAAAATCCAGTTACTTAAAAAGCACCTTTCTTCTGTGTTGTCATGCCCCCGTTGGAGCCTGAATCTGCAGAGGAGGACAAGCCAGAGCTGGAGCCAATGGAGAGCGAGGGGCCGGCTTTGGTGGCTTTGGAGGAATGTGGGAAGGAGCAGGCTGAGGCAGCCCAGGGACCCTCAGGATTGGGACAGCTTGTTAGCAGGGAGAAACAGGGGCAGGATGACCGAGAGAGGGTAAGCAGTGGACATGAGGAGCGACAGAGCTTAGGCAATCAGCAAGGACCACCCGCTCCTGATCCCTGAGCATGGAGAGTGGAGAGAAGGTGGGAACAGCGCAGGCCGACCTGATGACTCAGGAGGAGAGCGCCCCACCCCTCTTCACTAGGCACACCTGAGATTTAAGGAGACACTGTGGGAAGGGGCATTTGTCGGAAACAAATGCTGAATTGGTAGAGTTTGGTGTGCCGGTACAGACATTTGGAGTTTGCAGAATTGCTTGCTTCTTCCTTACTTCGTGGACTCAGTGCCTTGTTCCTGACTTTGTGGACTCGTTTGTTTCTTGTTTCGTGGACTTATTTCCCTTTTCCTTTGCTTTGCTGGACTGCGCACAGCCAGAGGCTGCCGTGTGTGTGTGTGTGTGTGTGTGTGTGTGTGTGTGTCTGTGTGTGTGTGTCTGTGTCTGTGTGTCTGTGTGCGCTTTGCTCTAGGACTTGCCAAGAATGTGGGAGCATTTGGAGAATTTTGGAGAATTAAAGGGAAGTTTGAACTCTCAGCTGGCTGTGTGGCCTTCATGCCTTATCCCAGGTCATCACATCTATTGTGGTCACCACAAGCCTTCACTTTGCTTTCTCTTGCATTGATCAGATGTTAGAGTGGTCCTGCTCATTCTGCCCACTTAACTGTTAGCACTCTGCATATGGTCTCAAGACTGATTAGTACGTACATTTTGAAAGGGATATCCATAACTGTGAAATCAAAACCCTGCCCCTTTTTACTATGTTTGTTACAAATGTAAAAGTGGTACCCAACGTCTTGGTTTTTTCATCCACTCCCTGTGGATGCTCTTGTTCTTAGATCAGATTTTGAATAGGGCAATTTCAGTCTTTGGAAAATGCCTGAAAAAAATAGCAAGCTAAAATCGAACAGGTTTGCCCTGGAAACTTTTATTGCAAATTTAAATGAAAACACAGTGTTTTTTTGAATCTCTGATCTTCAGTCTGAACCAAATCAAGTTGATTTCCACGGAGCGATAGAAGTCAAGATGGGGTGTTGGGAGATGACCGGTTCCCTTTCTGCAAGCATTGAAGGATGGAAAATCATTTGGTTGATTTGTTTCCTGAGATAGTAGCTGAGAAAATGGCAAGATAGGTTCGGGGAGAAAAAGGTTTTGAATTTTGTCTGTTTTCTGTTTTTCCTTCTATAAAGATGGTAGAGGTTGGACTGTCACTCTTGCCTAAAAGGAAGCTTAGGATAGTAACAAAATGAAGGCTGGGACCAAAGATTATGCCTCCCCCTCCTATTCTAAATTAGTCTGGTTGTTCCAGCTTTAGTGGAGATTGTTTAAATGAGGGCTTGAAGATGTTTGTACGAAATAACAATTTCTGAATTGTTTGCTGAATTTCTTTGTCAATAATAGTACGTCAAACTCTGCAGCTTGTTTTATTTTGCAAACAATACGATGTGATTAATAATTAGTTCCCACGGAAATTTTTTCCGTCTTTTGGCAAATAAGGGATCTTGATGATGTGAGATTTGACACAATCTTTTTTGTGTGTGTACCTCACATAGAAAAGGGATCCATAGATTACATTAGAATTGGCCCTTAGAGTTGACTTTAGTTTTGCTCTGAGAAAAAGCAGATGTGCTTAATATTTTCATCCTAATTTCCCCAAAACATAGATTGAAGTAGCTTCAAGTAGTTCAGTCTTCCCTATTTTAGCCTAGGAACATCTATTTTTGCCAGATTGATTCTTGCAGTAACTTGAATTGGAATTGGATTCTCTCTGAATTGCAACAATGGAAAGTTACATTGAGAGTTTTTATTACAGTCAAATTTCAATTCATTCTCATAGATTTAATCAGAATGAGGTTTCGTTAACCTCTCCTGCGTGCAAATGCTCATTTGCATACACAGGAGGAAAACATTGCTGGGAAGATGCCTTGGTTCCTCATTCCTGGGGGGAAAAAAAGGACTGGAAAATTATCAAGGTAGAATTTTTAAAGGAAATTCTTATTTTTTCCCCCCAACATGTCTCTTGTAGATATGGCAAGGAAAATACCTGGCGCTCTATAGCAATAGCCCTTAGACTTATATACCATTTCACAGTGTTTTACAGCCCTCTCTAAGCAGTTTACAGAGTCAGCCTATTGCCCCCAACAATCTGGGTCCTCATTTTACCCACCTCAGAAGGATGGAAGGCTGAGTCAACCTTGAGCCCCATCAGGATCAAACTGCCCAACTGCCAGCAGTCAGCAGAATTAGCCTGCAGTACTGCATTCTAACCACTGTGCCAGCATGGCTCATCATGCATGTTATTTCACACATTGGGAAAAACGCTGCAAGTATTTTTCTATAGCCTGAAAGAATGACTAGGGAGATATTGAGGCTGACCTCTGGAATACTTGTAGTGTTTTTTCCAAATGTGTAAAACCACATGTATTAAACAGGTACAATGGCAATAGTCTATTATGCAAGAAATAAGGAAATAGATGTTTAGGTATAGCTTTATATAATATATGTGCTTAGATATGCTTTTTCAGTTTTATTTCTTTTGCATAAGGGTATTCTTTATGCTAAAGTTGTTTATAGCTTTTGTTTAGATTTTTGGAAAGTATATGTATTTGATAAGATTAAGGTCCTGATGCTTTATTTTATTGTTTTGGGAGTCATAAATAAATGTCAGACTTTAGATTGACTTGAAATATGGTACAGATAATCCCTTCTTTACAACCATTCATTTAGTGATTGTTTGAAGTTACAACGACACCGAAAAAAGTGACTTATGACTGTTTATCACACTTATAACTGTTGCAGCATCCCCATTGTCACATGATCAAAATGAGAAATGCATGGCAACTGGCATGTATTTATGACAGTTGCAGTGTCCTGCGGTCATGTGATAGTCTTTCGTTACCTTCTGACATACAAAGTCAATGGGGAAGCAAGATTCACTTCACAAACATATTACTAACTTAACAACTGTAGAGATTCACTTAACAGTGGTAGGAAAGGTCATAAAATGGGGCAAAACTCACTTAACAACTGTCTTGGGCTCAATTGTGGTTGTAAGTCAAGAATTACCTGCATTTAGTGAATCAATTTCCTCTGATAGTTAGAAGCTAGAAACCAGAAAACCAATGTAAATTCTAACATTGTCTTAGGCATGAAGCTGGCTGGATGACTTTAGCCCAATCCTTCTCTCTCAGTCCTAGAAATGGTAAACCACTTCCAAAATCTTGTCAAGAAAACTGCACGGATTTAATTAGTTACCAGAGGGCAAGACAGACTTGGAGGAATTTTAAAAACAAGCAGCTTTGTGTGGAAAAAGAGGCCCATGTCTCTTATTAAACTAATCCCCAAGTATTTTAACAGTCTGAGTCTTACCGGCTCAAGGTTGACTCAGCCTTCCATCCTTCTGAGGTAGGTAAAATGAGGACCCAGATTGTTGGGGACAATATGCTGACTCTGTAAACCACTTAGAAAGGGCTGTAAAGCACTGTGAAGCAGTATATAAGTCTAAGTGCTTTTGCTATCTTGTTTTCCCCAAAATAAGACATCCCCTGATAATAAGCCCAATCGGGCTTTTGAGTGTATGGCAATA